TTATTTATAATTTAATATAAATTTTTTTTTTTTAATAATATAATTTTTTTTATAGTATTGGTATTTACTATTACTATTACTATCATTTATTAGCACCAATAAAAAAAAATCGAAACCTCGCTGCGTCAATCTCGCAGATTTTTTGGTTTTCTGAGAAGAGGAAAGTGAGCAAAGTCAAATTAATTTTTATTAATTCTTTTTTCCTATCGAGTTTATATATTTTACATAATTAAAATAATTAATAGAACCCTTACAAATGAATAGTGTGTCATTGTGACATATAAAATAACGTGTGATTATTCTTTCGTTTATATTTATGGGACTAATATAAAGGCGATACCATATTTATCATCTAAAATATTATTTTTGTTAGTTGCTAATTCGTTACAATCAGTTACAAAGGTACAAAGAAATAATAAAAATCATAATTTTACCTGTGCATGATAATATGGCAAGCTTCTCTGAAACATCATTTCACAAAAGAAAATTATATATTAAATTTTGATTTCATTTCTGTTTTTCTTAAGATAATAAAGTCTATGTTCAGAATCCTTGATAATAATTTCACCTGTTAATTATATACATATATACGTAGTAACAATAATTATAGAACTAAAAAGCGTAGAATAATTAATAAAAAAGAAAGATATAAAAATTTATGCAACATTCGAACCTTATTTTAATAATTGCCACAGGTTCAAGGACCACATTAAGGGCCGGTCCTACAGCCCCAAAAAATATGGGACCAAGACTGGACCGATCCAACTCTAATAAAATTTTCCTAGGAATCAGAAAACTAGATGATTGAACCTTTAAAATGTATAAATAACATTGTAATTTTCTCAACTTTATGCATCATCATCATTACCCATCCATCCCTACAAAAAGTTTAGATACTTATTTTTTACAAATACTTAACAATAATATTAATATTAATATAGAATTTGCTGAATCAAGCTGTGAATTAATATTTTATAAACAAATAAAATGAATAAAAACGAATAAAACGAATAAAA